GAGGCAATTTTGGTGAAAATCAGACGAAGGGCCCTATCATACACCCCGCGCATGGTGCCGCAAGTGTTTTTTGCTAGTTTGTGATAGCCTGACGCAGTTATCATTTTCACGTCCTGTGCCACGTTGTTTAAATAGCAAATGCATTTGCGCCCATTTGTGCGCATTGTTGGCACATTGCTATTTTGAGGCAACTGAAATAGACTGCGCCATTGATCAACTGAAACCTGGTCTAAAGTCAATGGTGCAATACTTTTTTTGTTATTTAAAGAACGCGTTAGTAATGTGTGCCTATAGGCAGGTCCGCAACGCGCGTACACTTTGTCCCGTAGATGTTTTAACCTGCGCGAACGAGCAGATCCGTTTCCTCTCTGGAGAAGCGTTCAGCTTTCCTGCTGGCAAAATCCACCATGTAAATAGCGAATCCACCATCCACCATTAGCGAGTGCAACCATTTTTTTCCGTTATTAAACTAGCAAAAGTGCATTAGGGCTGCGTTCCAGTCCACTTTTAGGCCCCGTCCACACTACTGCGTTTTCGTTTAAAAACGGAGAATTAAAACGAATACGATCTCCGTCCACACCAGCGTTTTAGCTGCGTATTAGAATTGATCTCCGTCCACATTAAAACCATAGACAGTAAAAGAAATGGACAGAGCGACCCCATTGATTTCAACGGAGAAGACTTGAAGCCCGATTATTGCACTTCCTGTCTGATCTCTGAGCGACTGCGCAGGCTCAAACTGAGCGTGACGACAGTCTGACAGTTGAAAATCTTATAGTAGCTGTGCCAAGACAAATCTGAATCACCTAATTCCTCAAAAACGTTGTTGAAATATTTTGTCCCATTGCTTTTATAGACTCTCTATGTATGGGCTTCTACCTTGACTTTGTGCCTCCATGTCCTCCTGATTGCCTCATAGACAGTTAAAGATTGCCTGCGAGCTTCTCCTCCTGTCTATACGGTAATGTCTCTATTGTGCGACAGAAAGTCCCGTGGTTATGACGCAATCTTTAGCCTATTTTAAAAAAAAACTGCTTCTACGGGGCTATAACGTAAGATACAAAGTAATGGAACATTTTATACATTGTCGTGTTTCTTTAGAAATGAATAATGGACAATTGAAGTCTTTGGACGCCTCAGATGTAAAGTTATTCGCTGTCAAAGTGACGCCAAAATGAATGGGAGTCAATGGGATGCTAACAGCAGGTGATGGTCTGCTACAATGGCGGCTCCCGCGAGGCTTCAACTTCCGGCTGATGGATTACCCCCTTGATTAAAACGCCTGAAAACGCGGATCACGTGACCATTCACAAACACTGGGCATGCGCGTGCCGGTGTAAACAGGAAACGGATTGACATGTGATGGGTGGCTGACGAATCAGGGAAGGATACGTCATGACTGATGACACCCAATCATAGAGCCGAGCGTGAGCCTCTTCGTCATCGTTTCTAAAGTCCACCGTTTTGTCCCGTCTTCACTAAAACGCCCTCCGGAGATTCAAAACGCAAAACGGAGCTGCAGCGTTTCTAAACTTCTCCGTTTTTGGTCTTCGTTTTTTCCGTTTTAGTCTTGACAGGAGGTGCAAACGTAGCAAAAGGTCTCTGTTTTTAAACGAAAACGCAGTAGTGTGGACCGGGCCTTAGACACGCACTTGTGAACTTCCCTCAGCACTTCCCCTCGGGGGAATCCCTGCCACCATTTTGAAGTGCGTTCCACTTTGTGAAGTTTATATGGACAGAGTCTACTTCACATGTACACTTCAGGCATCTCCATATACCATAATGCAACACGATTGTTGTGACGTCACCGCACATCTCGTCTAATCACCACCACCACCACAAACAACTCTATGATATATTAATTATATATATTTTTTATTTAAAACAGCCCAAACACATCTATATACATTTGTATGCTGCATTAAACAAATTCTTGTAAATAATAAATCAACTCCATAGCTGATTCCAAGTGATCAAGGGCCTAGGTAGGACGTTCCAATTCAGCCCATTGCAGTTTCCGCCCGTAGTGGGCACTCGCAAGTTGTAAAACGCAATGACGTACATCCGAGTGAACGAGACGGAGGGAAGTAATCGAGTGAAGGGCATGACAATTTTGGACTGGAACGTAGGCTCGGACTCGCCCTAAGTGCACTTGCGCCATGCGCTTTAGACCACGCGCTTAGATCGTTAAATTAGGGCCCGAAGAGTGTAGGACGAGTTCGAACAATTCAAAATGGCGGGAATTTTTTTATGACAGAACACAACATCCTAAAAATAAAATAAAGTATTTTTTCTTTGTAATTTTTCATTTAAATTGAACTTGCTCCGCTTCTAAAACAACTTTCCTTATTCTGATGACATCACCAAGTCCTCCCTTCCAACTTCCTGTCATATAGAGACTTTATTTCACAATCCAATCAGTTCTGATGAATAAAATCAAGTCTTATATTTGTTTCACTTGGAAATCAACCCATGAATGTTTTTTATGTGAAAATATTTGAACATAAAAAAGCTCTTAAGCAGTTTTCAGTAATGTTTATTAAATAATGTAGTGCCTGTTTACTTCGAGACATCAAACTCTTGTTGGATAGCAATAATAATGCTTGAAAGTAAATCGAATGACAATTCATATAATAATTATCCTTGCAATAACATCAACAACCTCGTCATTGATGTCGCAACGACTGTAATTGTCAGTGGCATCATTGAACAATCAGCCATTGTTATAAAGCACCAACAGAAGATGATTCATAAGCGCAGCTACACGCTATATCACTCAATCATGCGTTCGCGTTCACCTGAACAGCCATTTTAAACCCCACTTCCTTAAATAAACACACCCCTCCATTTTATAAATTCTTTAAGCTCGTTATGTTTAATTATTCATGCCTCAGAGGAGGCCCGTTCCCGCAGTGCAGCGCAGCACGTCCACGCTCCATTCCAGAGTCACAGAGACAATGACATATAATAACACTGCGATTACAGACGCAAATTTGCTCCGAGTTTGTCATTTGTTGTCTGAACGGAAAGAAAGAGTTATCCTTGAGCTGCAGAACCCACACGATGTTGACGTATTGTTATGACGTTCCCTTCATAAGATGGACAAACCGGGCAACAGCAGCTTCGGCCAAAAGCTTGGTGTGTGAATACAGAAAACGAAGGTTAAAGTGCTGATGCTGGCGCTTTTCTACGCTCAAACCCCCAAACCAAACAAATGATACTGCTGAGGGAGACGGAGCTTCACAGACGTGACACTAACAAGCAGAATAACAAAACAAATCCAATCAGCTTAGGTATGTAAATATGCGAACAGAAATACACATTTAGGGGGGAAAAAAGACAATGTTTACTACCTAAATATCTGCTTGTTTGTTGACCTGTTCATGTATTTGTTCACTCTGTCTGTCTGTTTGTGTCTATCTATTCATGAATCTATATAATAATTTGTTTATGTATTTGTTCGTTTATCTTTCAGCCCACCTGTCTCTCTATATATCTGTTCATTTATTAATTTACATATTTGTTGTTTATTTTTCTTAAGGTTAACTTTTCTATCTATCTACAGTATCTATCTATCTATCTATCTATCTATCTATCTATCTATCTATCTATCTATCTATCTATCTATCTATCTATCTATCTATCTATCTATCTATCTATCTATCTATCTATAAATATATCTATATCTGTCTTTCTGTCTATCTATCTATCTATCTATCTATCTATCTATCTATCTATCTATCTATCTATATCTGTCTATCTATCTATCTATCTATCTATCTATCTATCTATCTATCTATCTATCTATCTATCTATCTATCTATCTATATCTGTCTCTCTGTCTATCTATCTATCTATCTATCTATCTATCTATCTATCTATCTATCTATCTATCTATCTATCTATCTATCTATCTATCTATCTATCTATCTATCTATCTATCTATCTATCTATCAATATATCTATACCTGTCTGTCTGTCTGTCTGTCTGTCTGTCTGTCTGTCTGTCTGTCTATCTATCTATCTATCTATCTATCTATCTATCTATCTATCTATCTATCTATCTATCTATCTATCAATATATCTATACCTGTCTGTCTGTCTGTCTGTCTGTCTGTCTGTCTGTCTATCTATCTATCTATCTATCTGTCTGTCTGTCTGTCTGTCTGTCTGTCTGTCTGTCTGTCTGTCTGTCTGTCTGTCTGTCTGTCTGTCTGTCAGTCTGTCTGTCTGTCTGTCTGTCTGTCTGTCTGTCTATCTATCTATCTATCTATCTATCTATCTATCTATCTATCTATCTATCTATCTATCTATCTATCTATCTATCTATCTCTGTCTGTCTATCTATATCTGTATGTCTATCTATCTATCTATCTATCTATCTATCTATCTATCTATCTATCTATCTATCTATCTATCTATCTATCTATCTATCTATCTATCTATCTATCTCTATCTCTCTATATCTATCTGTCTGTCTGTCTGTCTATCTATCTGTCTATCTATCTATCTATCTATCTATCTATCTATCTATCTATCTATCTATCTATCTATCTATCTATCTATCTATCTATCTATCTATCTATCTATCTATCTGTATGTTCATTTAATTATCTATCTATCTATCCGTTTGTCTGTTTTCCAGTCTATCTGTTAATTTATCTCTCTGTCCACCTGTCTGTCTATCAATCTATCTATTTGAGTTGTTTAGGTATTCAGTAAGTGTATGACGTGTCAGTCTATAATTAATTAAGGCATTTAAGTCGTTTTTATTTTCATTTGTCCTCAGCTTAACTCAAATGATGATCTTTCCCACTGTGTCTAAACAGCAGACTGTTATGCCTGACCCCGTATTATTATGGTGCTACACACAATCCTGTCAAGTGCTACAAATTTGTCCTGTAAAGTGCTACAACAATCACTGTCAGTCTCAGCTACACACATCCACCCACACCTCGTCCAATAAACACACAAAGTCATCAAGCTCCACGTGAACTCACCAGAGAAGAAGTTCTTAGCACGCAGGTAACTGACACTCAGACGCAGGATGGAGAGTTTGTCCAGGCTGCTCGTGACCTCCTCGGGAAACGGAAGGAGACTGGCCAGCCGGTCCAACTCGGAGTTTAGCCGGTCTCGATGGCGTTTGGACGGGTTAGACTTCCCCCCTTCAGTTGGGGGCTGCTTCACCCTGAGTACGAGAGCACGAGAACCAACTCTTAAAATCACATGCAACAGCGTTTTTCATGACCCGGTCTGTTTGGACAAAATCACGGACAACATGAAAATACTGAAGCCACATTCAGAGTGTCCCACAAGCTGTTTTTACTAAATTGACTCAATTGTCAACTTTCCTACTCTATTGTTGGGTCTGTGCTGTTCTCGGTGTTTGATTTTAAGGAAATGTGTGTGTATCTTAGTTTGTACGAATAATCACGAATTGGGTCACCACCACCCCAACGTAAAAGCCACACACACACACACACACACGTTGGGTTTCCATGTTTTATGAGGAATTTACAGACATAATGATTTGTATACTGTACAAACTGTATATTCTATCCAGTAACCCTAAACCTACCCATCACAGAAAACTTTCTGCATTTTTACATTTAAAAAAATAATAATTCTGTATGATTTATAAGCTGTTTTCCTCACGGTGACCAAAGACTGTCCAAATATTTTAGATATTGCCATCTTCGTATGGTTTACCTGAACCACACACAACGGGCTGTTATAAAACATAATTTGCCTGTTACTCTAAATATGATTTACATTATAGATTTCATTCTAATCAAAATGTATCATAATAAACACAAGACGTCAATAGATCATTTTAAAGATATATGAATTCAAAAAGGGGAAATTGTAAGGAAACAATCAATGCAGACACTAAAGTGATTGGCTAATTGAAATCTTAAAAATAAACAAAATATTTTTTAAATATTTTTAAAATATTAAACAAATAGCTATAATTTGTGAATCTATTATTTAAGAGTATAAAATAAGAACGGTATGCAAAATGTAATATAAGATTATGATATCTATTTGGTTTACACTTCAGCAATGAAGTGATTTTAAACTCAATAAAAGGTGGCAGAATTATATATTGGCTAATTAAGGTGTTTTATTACAATTATTAAAAGAAATATTTACCAGTAAATATAATTGTTAGCAATATACATTCTAGGTTAAATCTAGTAAACAATCTTTTTCAAAAAAATCATGTTCTAATAAAAATGTGACTTTATTTATGTGGCCTATATTTATACGCAAAATTCCAATACACAATAAAATAAACAATAATAATTTTAATAAAATATTATGCAAGATAAAATAACAAATACAACATACTGCATTATATAAAATATATAACATATACAGTGCATTATAATAAAATATTTGCGTGCAGCAATGTTCACAACATAATTTGGGGTTTAACTTAATTTAATTTCACGAAATGTAATGTATTTCTATTTTTTGTAGGTCTACCTGATAGTTTCATTTTATCAAAAATTGAAAACGAAAAGGAAAAAACACGTATATAAGTTGACTAAATGAGCAAGAGTGCATGAAAACTATATCATTACGGACATAGCAGGCTACTGTACATTAAAACAAATATCGCAGCACTGGGTTGTAAAACTCATACCAGTGATGCGTTGATGACCTTAAATAGAATAATAACTGTAAATATAAATATTTACTTTAGACAGATGGGCCTAGAGAGAAGATTACACATGCGATGTGGGTCAGACGTATATTTTACTATAGCCAACGTTACTGTTGAGTTTTTTTGAGTCAGAAAGACCAACAAAAACTTCAACAACAGCAATTTTCAATGAAAATTGTATGACACTAATTATTTGTTTGTATGATCTAATTATGGACCACAGTGTTCACTACGCCTACACACAAACACACACACACACACACACACACACATTTATTTGTATCACTTACGCTCTTTGCACTGGTTTTCTTCTTTTTCGTCCTGCATACATGTTTAAGGCGTCAGTAGGCTATAATCCAACTCTTCGGGTCCAATAAATTCAACCCACGATTTCTAACAGATAGTAAAATCCCGAAGACCCACTCGTTCTTGTACAGGCAATGAGTGTTACAATTCTAAAATAAATATTATATTTTATCAATTGTGCAAAAAGGCACCCAAAGCTACTGCTACAACATGACCAAACTGCAATTAATATCAGTCCTATAAACTTAAAACGCCAAAAAAGAGATGCAAAAAGTGTAATTCCTCTTCAAATATATTTCAGCGTTCATACGAGAAGTGACAGCAGGTCCTCGATATCATATTCTTCATCCTCAGTGCGGCCGAGTTTGTGTAAACAGCTCTCCAAAGTCATTTACTTGGTTAAAATAATACATTATAATCTGTATTTACACAGAACGGGCAAAATAAATCAAACCCAGAATCATAATTTGTTCCAGGCTTCGTGTCTAATTCATTTTTTTTTTTTTTTGGCCGAGCTGCTCCACTAAGTCCTCCAACTGCGCGCCCCCGACATCAGCTTGCAGGGGCACGCGCATTTGGTTGACCAGGCAACCGGCACAGATTTGCGCAGGAGCGCGCGCAGAGCATCAGAGGCCAAGGCATTAAAGGCAAAGGGGAAAAATCTCCTAGGATACAGGACGTCAGACGTCTCCCGTGATTGGTCAACGGAGTTCAAAATTACGATTTCTCGCTCGTGAATAGTGACGCGTGGTCTGGTCATAAGCGTAATGGATTTGCTGAAAAAGGCATACGTTTGTAATTAGGCGCAACGACTTGTTTATGAATATTAATGAGATTACTGCGTCTCAATTCGCCTACTTATACTACGCCCTGAAAGTATGTACTCTTTTTGTGAAGAAAAAGTGCATACTTTTAAGTGTGTAGCAGAAGCTAGACAAGCTTTGGGACTATCACGTCATACAATTGCGTCTTTAACGGTTACTCTGTCGCTTAGTTAAGTTACACGCATCCCGTCGCGAAGACCTGTCAATCATCTTGTCAAAGATAAAATCCTCCACATTTCATTCCCTATCGTATCGGAGAGAAATGCAGAAGCACTTTGATCTGCAGTTGCGGGTCTTTCATGCAGAGAACTCTCCTCATATTAATGCATAATGATGGCCATAATGAATTAGCCTACCGGTAAAAGTTAAGGGCCAAACGAATCTTTAGAAAAGTCCACATTTTTGTTGCTGATGAAATATAGCACGGATAAAAATAAATTAATATTTTGCTACCAGGTTAAACTTTGATTAGTCACTCAAACCTTTATCTAAACCTCTCACCGTCGGTCGCGCATATCTGCCATGTTTTTTTTAAAAACACCTTTTACTCGTGTTTGTAGTTCCTCCTCCAAAGCGCGTGGGTTGTTTGCAATATTCAGGCATTAGCCTTTGTTTAGAGTGTGCGCGGATCCACACTTCGAAAATCCACCGGAAAGGGTAGACCATCCGGGGACTTCTGGCATGCTCTTTTTAACATACTATGATACTATGCTTTGGGACACACTTATTTTAATCTCACATACTGTTTAGGATGGATAGTAGGAGATTAGGGCAAGAATCGCTCGCGATCTGATTAATATTCATTAGAATCCATGGACACTTCTAGCCAATCAGCGGACAGAGCACCTCGCTTTTGTTTGTTACAAAAATCGCATCATCTCTGAAATTAAATACAATAAACATTTAGGTATTTTTAAATCAAATAAATGTCTTTTTTTTTTTTTAAGGTTAGGCCACTAAAAAGATAGATAATAATACTAATAATTAATAGTAACAATCAGCATGTTGTTTATGTGAAACAAATGTACGCAATTATTAATAAAATATAAATAATTTAAATTATCGAGTTTAATCCCTAAGAAATTCCAGTAATATTTTAATGGGGTGATAATAATAATAAATGCTTTCATGCAGTGAGAACTTTTCGTTTATTATTTTAGTCATTCATTCTTTCCCTTACAGTTTTATTGCCATATTATATGCATCATATGCTTGCAAAGAGGCCAGTTGCAGAGTCAATTCCCTTTTGCAAACTTCTGTTATGACGCATCATTTCCTGCGCTTTCAGAAGCGTTTATTGCTGTTCAGCATTTATTGACTATAATGACGGTATTATAATACTCGTTTATGGACCACAGCAAAATCCCTTCAAGTGCATGCAAGTTACTGACTCTTTCATAGCCTACACATTGCACACATCTGTTTTACACGCATGGATTTAAAGGGCAGTAGTGAATAAAATATTATTCAAAAGTGATTGTATATCTCCCCAATTTTGTTTTAGGACACCATATATAAAACTGTGGCCAACCACACCAAGTAGGCCTAGTTACAACAATTATTTCTTTGTTGTTTCGTCAATTGAACACGGCAGAACGACTAATTTCAACTCGCCTTCTTAAAAGTTTTATTTTACACTAGTAGTAGCCTACAGTAGGCTATAGCCTACATGATGTAATTGTAGGCCTACTGTATAGGCCTACTGGCACACATTCAAAATATGTACATTAGCGCCCCCATGTGGTAAACACACGTAAACTACATCCATCTGTCTGTCTACACTAGTCTACAGCCAAATATAAGATATGTTATTGGGTCAGTATTCGACCGTTGGGAATGGCGGAGGACAAGTGAGTAATAAAGGGAAGGGATCTCAATTTAAACCAGAAATGACTATGAGGCCCTGTTTACACATGGTATTAGGAATCGGATGCGTTTTGGTCGAACGGATCACAAGTATACGAGGGACTGAGACACCCTTTTATGGGATGAAATTAGACTCATAATGATTAACAAATGCATAATTATCCATGAACTTGATAAATGTTGCAGATGTGTTTTACTATCCACAACCAAAAGCCTTTCAACTTGCTTGAGCAAACTTTTTCTGAGTCGATCTAATTTTATTCATTTGGATTAATGAGTTTCGACTACCTCTGAAGTGGTCGAAAGTGGACAAGCTCTAATCTATCTATCTATCTATCTATCTATCTATCTATCTATCTATCTATCTATCTATCTATCTATCTATCTATCTATCTATCTATCTATCTATCTATCTATCTATCTATCTATCTATCTATCTATCTATCTATCTATCTATCTGTAGTTTTTGTGCATGTAAACAGATGTCCAATAAAATGACCAGCTAACGCCATTGAGTCATTGACCCCCGTTTAATATTGTAAAGATATCAATAATGAGAGGCACAACACAAAAATTAATCATTTGATAATACAAATACAAAACAAACAAAAGCTATATTTTATATATATAATATAGAAGTGTGTGTATAACTTTTATTTGTGGGACATCCATTTGCGTATAGATTTTACAGTTGTGCGGAACAATGTACAAAAAAAGATGTATAGTAGCCTACACATAAAAGCATTTACAATGCTGGGTGCACAAACAATGGTACAACAAACATACAATGATACAACAAATAAACAAAGATACTGCATTTAACGAGAGGCCTCACAAACATGTTGTTACGCAAGACACGGGCATCTGTGTTAAGTATTATTTCTTCCAAAAGGATTTGTAGTTTAGTGGTGAATGGGGAGGATGTCCTAACATGTATGAATGATTTTTTTTTTGGCACTGGGGGAGTTCAATGCAAAGGCCGATTATTGGTGATTTTCCCACTGTGAACCAATTTTAATTAATGGCATTTTGCAGGTAGGATATAGCAAATGAAAGGGTAATTTTCTGGACCACTAAACCTTGTCTAGTCACAAATCACTAATATTTAGGCCTTACTGAAGTCATAAACATAGTCTAATAGTAGAGTTTCCTAAGCAGATGGACAGGATTAAAGTGACAAGTAATCTGTCTGTCATCACTAAAAAGCCAAATTTCAGTTTAAAAAATATCTAATCTCAAATACAGTGGTTCTCAACTGGTGGGTCGCAGCCCAAAAATTGGGTCGCGCGTTTTAAACGGCGAATGACTGCAGGAATTGATACCGTTTCGAATTTAATATCAAATTAACATTATTATAAAACACCATTAAGGGCATTTAAGTAAGCAAAGCAAAAATTAGATTGAGAAAATGTTCGTTTTCAATTTCACACAAGTGTGAAAAAATGTAATAGCGAGTATTTGAGATGCATTAAACAGTAATACAATGGCATCTCCGCCATATAAAGCTATTAAACATTTGATTGAAATGACATTTGTAGGATAAACGCCACTGTAAAATCTGTCTTGAAGCAAAACCACTTGAGAACCACTGATTTAACATAACGTTACATCATTGTGGACAGAGCTATATCGCGTCGAAGGACATGGCGTGAAAGATATTTTAAAGCATGAAAACGAAAATCAGAGCAAAACAAATCCATTGCTTTTATTTGTGCGTAATCTGTCAACTTTACAAACTGATTAACGGATCAATTAGCCAACTAATCATCCATCAATCAAACGACCCTTTAGCGATTTACTAACCTCTTCTCTTAACCATCAGACATCTAGCAATAAAACACAGAACGCTCTAACATTACATCAAAGCCAGCTCCTTTAGCTTTCAGTAGGCCTACAAACGAAACCAAAAGTCACTAATCTCAGAAAGCGAAAGCTGTTTTAAGGCACTTAAGACGACAAACGGGCAAAATGCGTGTCCTGTATCTCTTGAACTGCGAGGCTATGCACAACACTCAGCAAACTAGCATAATCGATTCCGTCCATGCTAACAACAACCAGTTGTTAAAAACGTTGCTTCTCAGATTCAATTATAGCTGCCATTTCAATTCCTTTCCTCCTCTGCAAGCCACGATCATTTCATCCAAAGAGAGCGAAAACGGGAGGGAATAAGTGAAATATCCTTTGGGGAGAAAGAAATTAAGGCACACAGTGTTCCCATTTCAGATGATGAAAGGAAAAGGCTTCGGGTGCACGAGTTTGTGGTTTTATATATATATATATATATATATTCGCTGTTATTATCACACCAAACTTTCTGTTCTCACTGCAGGGTGAAAGAACAAATCTCAGAAGCAACAGCTGTCGAAAAAAAGTTTCTACAAGAAAATTAAGGTAAAAAAAAAAAAGCCTTTTCAAAAGGTAGGTAGCGACCCTTTTTTAAAAACCAATAAAACCAATCAGTCATAATTCCGCAGCCACGAGAAATCTCATACAAATATGTTTTGGTATATTTACACATTCAAAATGCTGAATCAAATGGCTTTAAATTCTTCAAAAAAGGGCTCAAAGTGGTCAACTTTGGGCCTAATTCACGAAACACAAAAGGAACACATTTCTGTGTAAATTGCATTCAAATAGTTTGGTTGTAAATGGTTTTTGAACACATTCTCTACACTGTGCTTGTTCTAAACTTTTTGGCTGCTGCTGTATTTCCTGATTGACCAAGAACAACACTATAGACGAGTAAAGAACGACACACGACACTATAGACGAGTAAAGAACGACACACGACACTACAGACGAGTTAAGAACGACACTATAGACGAGTAAAGAACGACACTATAGACGAGTAAAAAAGTCATTCAAATTTCAATGTGGCCGTAAAAATTAATCAAATCTTTTTTCGACTAATATTTACTTTTGTTTGGGATCCTTCTTTTCTCACACTATATTTTACCTTTCCTCTGGATGCAGGATACGCTGGCTGCTGTGATTCATGGCACGCAACACGATTTAGAATTACTATTATTCTTCTATATAAGCGAATAGAAAGCAAGAGTGTAATCAGCAAATTACAAAATTACTGCAAAAAAAAAAAAAAGCGGAAAAAATGGCTCAATGGTATTTCCATAATTTCGATTATATGCATACAAAAGTACAAAAGACGATTATTAAACAAAAAAACAACAAATAAATGATAAGCAATAACATTCAGATATTGTTGTAATACACATGAAACATGGTTAAGGCAAGCATAAAAGGGTGGCAAGAGCAGACGGTATTAAAGAGGGTATCTTGTACTGTTTCAATTTTACTCCTTGAATGGAAAAAGTGTTGTGTAGCAGAAACGGGGACATATTTTCTGGGACTATTGATTTCGGTGGTGTTTTTTCGTTACCTCAGAATCTTGTCCCCGTAATTAAAAGGTTGCTCCATTCTTTCTGCATACTTCATAAATGATGAACTCTAGGCTTCCTCGCGCATATACACAAACACACACTTGCTCACACACCTCTCCTTGCCATTATCCCACTCCAGAATGGCGGAAAAAAAGAAGAAATCCAATCAGGGATGAAAGGACATGCTTAAAAAAAATAAATATGAACTTTCTTTTACTGCTTATTTCTCATCAGAGAGGGTGTGAATAAGTGAATAAGTAGATAAGTGTGAAAAAATGTGTGGTAAAGATTGCTTTTAAAGTTCTGTAACGTCTCGTAGGTTTTCAGCCCAGAGTGTCATCAGAAGCGGATGCATCTCTCTCGAAGGGACAAACAAGTTGCTGTATTTATGTGTGCGTTTTTTCCCTAGAAACAGGCACTGCACTGTTGATGTGTCAGTCACTGCATTGGGTGGGATCTACCACTAATAGTCACAGCAATTGCTTTGGTTGTTCTCGGAAAAGTAGGTGGTTCCGTTGGCCATTGAGGGAAAGAGGTACGTTCCTTTCTCCTCAAGTGGACGGTTTGGAATCTGTGAAGGGACAACATTGAAACCATTAAAGGAATGTTTTGTTCATTCCGTGGTAATCATGTCATGATATTCATTAAGTTGTGCATGGACAAGAATTTAAAGCAGAACTCTCTACATTTTGAACTTTTGCCCCCAGCCTCAGTTTTGATGGCTTCCTTTACTATACAGGGGTTTGTCCTTTTTATGAAACCATAATTCATATTCAAAAGAACTTTAACTAACTTTAACTAAGACAATGGTTTTGTCTTATCCAGGACAAAATCTTAAGTCAGGAAATGACTTAAATCTAAGCAAAATGGACAATATAACTGAAATATAACCCACAATCTGTTTAAAAAAAAAAATCCCTGGATGTGTGATGACACATTAAACCTGTGGTAAAAAAAGGGCAGTTCCGCTATTCTCAACAAACTCAAAGACTCAATCTAAAAATTAAGATGAATCAATTAGTACAGTTTACCTGTGTCTGGCCATTGCAGGAGAGATACTGCTGAGCAAGTATGTTATCTGGAGTTAATCCAAGTGGGACTTGACAGGCCATGGGGCTGATGTTGGTGTCCTCCTGTGGGATGACCGGCGTGTCCACGATTAACTCGCTAGGACCTCTCTGGTAGTAACAGGATGCTTGTGTAGGACTCTGGGTAATCAGACCTTTAGCCCTCTGGCAGGATGAAATTGAAGATACTGGATCGGCAGAACCGTACTGCATCCCATTCACCGAGGGTTGAGGCGTGCTTGTGAACATGCAGCTGTTGGAGGTCTGCTGAGGATAGACGCCATTTGCAGTTGTCTGGGGCACGAACCCAGACACGAATCCTTGTGGGTTTGTGTGCGACAACAGTTGTCCAAGCATGTCTCTTTGGGCATCTTTCACTTGGCCGATGAAGCCCATCATATTCTGATGCTCACTGGAAAACGATTTAGGGACCTGCGGAGGGGTAGGCTGGGATTTCTGCCAGGCAGGCAGTCCCGGATTGACAGGATTTTGAGTGTGAAGAGAAAACTGTCCTTGTAAGTGGGTAGTAGGGCCAGAGTGCAGTCCTGCATCTTGTGAACCTGAAACGTTACGGCTGCAAGAGTTCAGCAGGTTATCCACCATATTGTTGCTTTCGGACACCCACTGAGGGTTCTGACTGATTGACGGTTGTTGGGGAAGTGGATTCTGGAAGCCTATCGGCAGGGTGGAAGTGCCCTGCAATAGTGGGTTTTGAAGAGGGAGAGTCATTGCGTTGGGATGGGGCTGGTTTCCAGTCTGTAGGTTTCTCTGGCCACATGGCACCATTCCGTTCTCTTGCACAGCACCTTGCAGACCAAGCCTGACTTGGCTCGACTGCTGACTACACTGCATGCCAAGAGAAGGATTAAACATGATGTTATTATTGCTGGCCATATTTTGGGTTGTCTGGTCTAGTCCAAATGATTGGACGAAAGTGTCGCCAGGTAAAATCTGTGGTCCCATATGGCTGAGCTTGGCCATCCCTCTTCCAGGGCTACTGGCATCCACTCCATCCTGGATGTTCATTCCGATGAACCCACCCGGACCTTGGGATCCACCAAGCATCCCTGCCTGGCAGTTGAATGCCTGGTTAGCAGCTAAGTTATTCTGTAACTCCGGCACCTCAACAAATAGACCCGGGTCCTTTAGCTGTCCAGGCAATTGAACACCACTTTCCTTGAAAAGTGCATCCTCGACATAGGAGAGGATGTCGTTGGTGAGGATTTTGTTAAGATCCATATCGTTGTTGTAGTTCATCCTGAGCAGAGTGTTCTCCCACTCCTTCAGCTCCAATTTGTCCACATCAAAATCCTGAAGGTTGTCGCAAAAAGTGGTGTCCCCGATAATCTGCTGCAAGGTTTCCATCATGTCCTTTACCACACCTTCCTCCTTTATCTCAGCTACAGTGTTTGTGGCTGACGGGTGCCAGGTGTTCCCAGGGACATTGAGCAGGGCGTGGCTATCCCTGAAAGCCTTGTCAAGCGTAAACTGTGAATTGGGGTCATTGTTCGGGTTGTAGATAGAAAGATCCTGGTTCAGCATGGAGCCAAGAATAGAATCTGGGTTCAGAGATTGAGGTTTGTTTATCTTCTGGACTTTGCTCTGATTTTGAATGTCAGTGATGATGTCCAGTGTGGGGCCAGTCTCATACAAGACACCCTCACCAGTGGTGCAGTTAAAGGGTAGCTGCAACTTCCTTTGACTGAGGTGTTCCTCACCCTCCTCATTACTACAAAATACAGACATTATATTCATTAGAAAAACAAGGAGATTAGCTCAGCAACGACATTACTAAAAAGCAGGTTTTACTTACGTTAGTGCTCTCTGTCGAACAATTATAAAGTCTGGCCTTCCTCCTTTATAAATAAGCCTAGCATTGGACTGCACCCAGATCCATGTACCCCATTTTGAGAGAAGTCTGAAGGCGGTTAAACCACTTTCTCCTGTCTTTATCACTATGAGAGAAAGTGAGAGAAAACATATATTTTAAAAGGTCTTCTATAGAAATCAAACTGATAGTCTTATGGAGTTCATAAACTCAACACATCCAAAAGCCAAGTTGAACATCTAAGAATGGACTTGGCTTTAATTTAATAGTAAATACTTGGTCAAGGTCTGATATAACTCACTTCTGACATGGTTGTCAGCACAGTACATCATGTCAGCAGCGTGAATGAACTGATAACCGGAGCCTCTCATACACAGCTCAATCTCAGTGTAGCCAAGAACCACCTTCCCTCTGCAAAATGAGAAATAGATAGGAAAAAATGTTAACACTGTTTATACCCCTTCCAAAAAATGTATTGGCCCAATCTGATGTTGTCTTTTACTTCAAACTCAAAAATACCTTGTGTCGATACCAATGGGTGTGAAGTCCAGCTTGTGTTTGGTTTGGAAAAGAAGAGTCTTGCTTCTGATTTCCAAGATTGAGGGTGGCTGGAGGGGTGTGGCTATGATAAAAAGGGCCAGCTGAGGGTGGGACAAGGTCCCATCTTCCACCAATTTGTTTTGCCCATAGAGATATTTCAGCCTCCCCTGGAAGTTCAGGGCCTTAGGGGCAAAGGGAAGGACATGAAAGTCATTTTAGCCCCATGAGGGTCTGACAGTGAGTAAACAATCCACAGCAGATTTATTTACACAGCTGTTGCTGTTACTGCATCATTGTGTACACAGAAAATCAAACATGGTTGAATATAGCACAAAGTGTTCATCTAAAAATATATACATTTTGGTTTGGACTGGCATACAGGTGTAATAGACATCTAGGATGTTTACCAAGAAGCCTGATGAGTTGTCAAGGAGGCACCGGAATCGGCAGCAGAAGCTTCGTTCCAGGAAAGATGAGTTTTCTGGAGGGATCTGTTGAGGGTTGTAGTTTACCATGTCTCTGGTGATGTCACTGCTGCTCTGCATTGCTGAAGACCAATTGGTTTTGCCAAACAAAAGAGGAAAACAGTGATGTAATAGGCTGTGAATCACTACCTGTGTTCATCATCCTGCGTTTATACAAGGCTCCATTTTATAAATCTGAAAACAAACATACTTCCTTGACTCATTAATGATGACAGCAGTAATCTGCTCATTGACAAAACATTCAGGGCTGGGCACCGCAGTAAATGCTGACGACATCTTAGCAGGAACTCACTATTTGAACACCAACGTTAGGGTGAGTTGCTACTAACCATCGGATCTTTCGCTTCCATCACACGAGGTGGGATTGAGAGCGAAGTGTAGTTGTCTGCGGAACATTGCCCGATCATCTGTATGGATGAGCTCAAATACACTCTGGTGGACCACATCCGACTGTGAAGACAGTGAAAGAGGACATTAATAAAAACATACATGAAACATATGGCATGTTATCACAGGGCATGTTATGCACCCAGCATCTCCTAATAATCCTAATTCATTCCATTGTGAGTGTTTTACCGTTACCATTCAATTTGGTAACAAACAAGATCTCATGTAGTTATTTTCTTTCCATTATGTAATTGCAGTGTTTATGCCAATCAAATGCAAAGTATAGCCTATTGGGGTGGCTCATATTTAATGAAAAAGCATTCTCACATTCTACAGAGGAGATCTCAATGTCCATTTTAGGACTGAATTGAATGTATATCAAAAAGTAGATGCTTCCCTCTAGAGGCTTGGCATAGTAACTGCAGCTTGTCTTGCATTTTTTTTCTTTCGGCCTATGTATTTTCCTCCCTGTGTTCTCTCTCTCTTTCCTCAGAAGACCTATGAAAACAGCTTGTGCTGTGTGCACGCTAATTGCTGCAGGCTGGACGGTGGGGATGAAAACCAGACAAGGTCCAGAAACCATTCATGACAACTAGTACCAACAAACACACATTTAAAGGTTAATGAGGACACACAGGGTCGGGAGTAGAAAGAAGAGATATATGTTAATTGCTCAAAAATATGTATACATGTCGCTGATATTTAAACATATATAGAGTATACACAGATGTTTTTCAACAGGGCACGTAGAATAATGATGTTGAGCCATTCTATAACATCTAAAAATAATAAAATTAAATACTAATATTATTTATAAAATCATATTTTTCAGCCTTTTAATGCATATCCTAAATTTATTTGAATAATCGAATCAAACCTCCCATCTAAAGGCCAAATTATTGCAATATTCACTTCTACAGTTAACACGTTTCTTAATTTTATGCAACCAACAAAAGGATAGTATATCATAAATATAAAAAATGTTGTCCAGCCCTGTTAAGAACTGAATTTTGAGGAGTAAAAGCACAGAACACTTAACACTATAAAAATGTCAGACACCTACTTGATAGAATAATGTAATTAAAAGTATGTGAATAGTTATAAGCGACCTAAGTCACAACAGGTGTTAGCAGTGGGTATGTAATGTATTTGTGCGTATATGTGTGCAGGTGGTGCTGACTGCGTAACCGTAGCGACCTGGACTTGCCTTACATGCTAGAGAGGGAATGTCACACTCTAGGGAAATTGATTTAGTGAGGAAAAACAGGTACGCACTCACAAGCACACACTATATGTACAGATGCACATCAACAAACACAATGAAACCGCAGGTCTTATTCACATATCATACAGGTGTATATATATATATACATATATTATATATACATTCTTTTGTTTTGCACATACTGTCCGTATTGTAATATTTGTGTGTGCCTAGAGCGAGAATGTGTATTTGAGTAGGCATTGTGTAACGTATAGCCTACTTGCTATCTAATGTTGGATATAGTAATGAAAAAGCTATTGTTAATCCATACATGCAAACTATACGTCCAATACATCACAGGAACACATACATAAGATCTTTCACAAAACTGGCTGCGGTTCACACAGACAGACAAACAGGTTTTGCAAGTTCTTTAATGAAGTATCCAAACATTCATTTTGACTCTCTTTGATGTTCTTTTTCTGAGCTTCTCCTCTTTTATAAACAAAACCAAACTATGTCCGATATGCACATCACAGGGTGAAAGAAAAAACACTTAATCGCTAAGCATTTGCAAATATTAGCTTACATAATTTTGAATAAGTCTTTTAAACAGGACAAGGAAGAAAACCTGAACAACATCTGAACAACATTGACTAGTTTGTTCACGATAAAAAAAAAAAAAACCTCATCGACGCCACAGATGTTTAACAGTAAACAAACCATTCCGATTAAGAAATCGAACACCACAGCAATTTTTCACAAACTACTTTCACGCTTCAGTTACGGAACAGTAAGCACCCGTGACCGACATTCGGGCCCACAGAATTATCCTGACGATAAGAGAAATTCATGATTCCTTCAGGATGAGGAAATACTCAACAAACAAGTGAAGAATGATTCAAATGTTTCCAACTCCAGCATAGATTTGACAATTACACTGGATTTATCAATTGTCAATCAAAACGCAATAGAATTGTTTGAGGCTAGTAAACTAATAATCATTTTTCTTGGTAAACAATACAAAAAACTAAACAAGTAAAGCTGGGAAGAGGCCTAGCTTTTGTTTAAGCCACTTACCAGCAATATTTGTGTTGATTACGAAAATGTCAGCGTATGACGAGATGACTAATGTTAAATAAAAGCTGTACTTCCTAAAGAGAAGTTTTAAAGCAAACTCACCTGATGGAAGCCAAGGTAGTCCTGTATAGTCGGTGATGAATAAAACACGTAACCTTCGGCGGTGACAACCAGAACAAAGCCATTGAGGGCCTGAAAACAAAATTAGACAAATATGTGTTAAAACATGGTAACAACAAATTGCCCGCTAAGTCAAAGCTGTATGGCATGACATATTTCATAAACAAAAACAGAAAGGTTAGTTTTGGTTTGGTTTATTCCCGCTACACATTGTGCGATTTTGGGCTGTCCCAGACAAAAGATGACCAATCGTGACGATTTCTGTGCCAGTCGTGGCTCCTAAACGGTGGTCCTACATCATACAGTGAGAGGTTCAAATACCGCGTATGTCAGTCTTGCGACCAAAGATAGCCAGCGATAATTTTCTGACTGTATCAGAAATTTAGCATGATCATCTCACGGTGTGTTTGCTGCTACGACCTACATTTACTGACTAGCCAATAAAAATGCAACATGAAATGGCGTATTGATCAACGTGACATGGCGCTAAAACTTATTTGCAAAATTAGAATGCCCAAGTTGGCCTCTTTTCCCTAGTCATGACCGCGTCCATATTCTCCTCTTTCGCTCACTCCTCTTTTTTTCAGCGGACATAAAAAACACAATTGTCGGAATGCAATTCATCTTGCTCTATTTGTTTACCACTAGCGCATGCTGATGACGTTTTATATACTGACGTCTAAACTTGCGTCGTAGCCTACGATTCAATAGGTGTCATCATTGAACAGTCTACATACATGTCGTACCCAAGTTTATTAAGTCAAGTCAAGTCAAATATATTTATATAGCGCTTTTCACAATACAGATTGTATCAAAGCTGCTTCACAGTATCAATCAAAACAACTTAACAGTGTTTGTTTATTACTGGAAAAGACATCCAAGTTTGGTAGAGCTGATCAGTGGTATGATGGGTCATTTAATTTGAATATCCCCAACTGAGCAAGCCAAAGGCAACAGTGGCAAGGAACCGAAAAACTCCATCAAGTTTATTAGATTCATGTCGTACACTGTGAATTGTAATGGATTTCCGAAATCGCACAGTCTGTAGCAGGCATAATGCGAAACACAGTGTCTGGGATTGTGAGTGAGTGTAAGACTGTAGATGGGTGGGTGTAATGGGGCCATTTTTCTTCTTTTACATCTTTTTTTTTCTAAAGTAAACATCCCATGTAATTATCCAGGCTTTTGTTAAGGTGTTGAACATGACAACAGACAAGGGGGTGAATATCGCCGCTAGTCACGCACAGGAACCAACAGCCCTCAAACAATGGAGAGAGAGTGTGTGTGTGTGAGAGAGAGAGAGAGACGGAGATGTGGCTGAAAAAGAAACTCACAATATTTGTACATGGAAAGCAACGTGATATAGTTTACAAAGAAAAGATAACATTGCTCAACAGTGGAGAATCTCAATTGCTCAGACTTCATTCCCTTTCACCAAGCGTGACAACAGCTACAATAAACAAAATGTCAACCCAACTTTCCTTCAGGAGTTTATGACATGGTAGCTTAAGTGTTTTATTTGAGCGGGTATAGATTGACTTTATGACTATTGTTTATTTTAATATCCTTCCACGGAATCAAGAAACGTTCACACTTTTACCTGCTATGCACACACAAATATAATGGGAAATTACCGACTTCTTTGCGCAGCCCAGAGTGACAGTTTGCATGAATAAATAACGAGGGAGCAAATGAGGATACACAAAAGTGAGGGACGATTTAGAAAGAGTACAGATGCAAATCGATCTGATCTTAGATTGACGTGACGAAAAATGGGAAGACCTCCCAGAAGATGATTCTTATCACTCACACAAAAACTCACAAAAAGATCCGGGCCATTTTAGGTGAGAAATGAGGTGCAAGGTGTTTATAAAATGTGTTAATGTTAAGTGTGAGCGTATGTAAACAAGTGGGAGATCGTTATGAAGAATCCTGGTAATTCTCAAGAAAAGAGATCAAGGAGTTGGTGCATTTCCATGCATTTTACCTGCAACAACAGGTCACCCTCTGAGAAACTGACTCCATCCAGACTGGTGGCTGTCTGTCCATTTCCTCCAAATGTCCCTGTCCGGTCACTTGGCCATCCATTTCCTCCTGTCTTTTTGCCTGTGGCTAAAGCAAAGAGAGAGAGAGAAAGAGTATGGTTTCTAAAAAGTTACCATAATGAATGTCATTCTGTGCTGGCTTGATAAGGAGATTGTTTTTGTAAGATTTAAACCATTCTTTCAGACAAATAATATGAAAGAATCCATTACTTCAAAATAGTCCATTACCATGGATGGAGACAGGCCAAAAAGCACTTAAATAAAATAACTTTACAGGATTTTGAGTTATGTGTTTACAAAAAAATGTAAAAAGTAAAGTTGGCACCGGCAATTCATCATTAAAGTTGTACATTTTGCTGAAAAATCTATGAAAACATCACATGACCAAGCAGAATGTCACTACCCTTCCACTGTGCACTCAGGAAGTAACTAGGACTAACATGATCAATCAACGTCATCAACAGTTTCCTCTCCAGATGTCTTGAACTCTGTATATTGTTGTTGTTTTTTATTACTTGCCTTCTCCCTCTCAACATGTACCAAGCAAAAATGTGTTTGAAAACAAAGGCCATTATAGTCAAATTTACAAGGTGCTAGTCAATTAAACAAATTGTCTATTAGCTAAAGCTTCTTTTGCTGAACATTTGAGTCTTGCCCATTTTGGTTACTCAAGCTACAAAATGTACTAACATGTTACGATATCAATAAGGAACCGCTGAGGTAAACAATGAAGTAAACTGTGAGGCAAAGCCTGTGGTAAAATCTGATGTAAACTGAAGTCTGAGGTAACATTTCAAGTCAACTGAGGTAAAATGTGAAGTAAGCTCTAATGCAAACCTGCAAGGTAAAATACGTAAAATGTGAAAAGTAAATTGATGAAATTTGAGATTTATTGAGGTAAAATATGAGGTAAATCATGTAAACTAAAGTTTGAGATGAAATGAGGAAAAATAAATAAATAATAAAACTGGCAAACAAAGTCTGTGGTGAACTAAGGTAAAATATGAGCCAAAATCTGAGGTAAATGTGAATTAAAGTTTGAGACTTTAATGAGTTAAAAATCTGTGGCGAACTCTGATGAAAACTGTGAAATGAGCTCTAAAATAAACCTGTGAAGGCAAAAAGTGAAGTAAACATACAAAATCAGAGATAAATCTTGAGATAAACTGAGATCAAATCTTTGATGAACTGAGGTAAAATATGAGGTAAATGAGGTAAAAATCTGTGGTGAAGCTAAAAAGTGAGGTAAAGTTAAACGTAAGGTAAACTCTAATGTAAATGAAAATAAAATATAAGGTAACTCTGATGTAAACTCTTTGGTAACCCACTACCTTTGATGTAAAATATGAGGTAAACTTTGTGGTTCTGATGTAAAATCTGAGTTCACTTCTTGAAGCTCAGCAATGACCACACTGAACGTGCGACAGTCTTTTTTTTATTCCTGCTCTCAGAGAGAGAGAGAGAGAGAGAGAGAGAGAGAGAGAGAGAGAGAGAGAGAGAGAGAGAGAGAGAGAGAGAGACATTTCAACACTTTCACAGCGGCAGCGCACACACCAAAACTCTCACTTCACACACTGCAATTTTATGTGCGAGGAAAAAAAGTACAGTTTTCTAAAAGTGTACAAAAGAACCTCAACTGACAATTTCGCAAACGTTAAAATGTTAAGTTAATCTCAAATACTTGATTATTTTTCTGTGGTTTCGCCATATTTTCCATACATTCCATTTCAGTAGCGATTAATTTTAAATTCACATCGCTAAATGAATGCTAAACTAACTGATATATCACATCTCTAATGTTTATTGTCCAGTACGTGTTAGACTTTAGTTGGGAGGTTGTTTTTTGTGTGTGGAAATGTCTAAAGCTAGGCTAACGCTGAGCTAACATAAGCCAGTGGGTGCGGCTCGCTAAGCCATTTCCTCCCTGACCGGCGCAGATGCCTTGCTATTTCTAGACCTTATCAAAAGCGCTCTATCGTAACCCCTTGGAGGAAAAAAAAAAGAAGGGAGGGGGAAAAAAGGAATAAGAAAAAGTGGAGGAGGGGAAAGAACGGTGTTTTTCTGCAAAGCACCAAAAATATCTCCCCACAGGACACAGATGTTGAGAGATTATTTGGCGAGGGGAAAAGCCGAGGCGAACTCAAACCACTTTAAACATGGACTGCTGATCGGTCTGGCAGTTTAAATTGCAAACGAATGTAAAAAAAAAAAAAAACAACAACGGAAAAGAGAAAAAAGGAGAAAGACAGAGACAACAACATCGTTCTGTAGACGTTCACCACAGATCTTGATGAAGAAGTAAATAGGGGTGTAATACAAACTCTGCCACCACACCAAAGAAATAACTACAGTACGGACAGCAAAGAAAGCGAGGGGAAACTCTTGATGAGGAAAACAGAACACTTGGCCCCTAGCGCTTGCTAGGCTTCTGAAGCTAAAGAGCGCAAGCATACACAAACCGAGGCAGCTGCTCAGGAGTCTCGGAGTCTACTGACACACAACAACTCATTGACAGAACTACACACAATTGTGAGCCGGCCGAAACGAGTTTGCTCTGCTGAAGCATCTCCAACGGTCTGAACGTTCCTGGCACGCAAGTCCGTCAAACATTGGCAGCCTATTGGCCGTGTGGTCCCGTTCCGACTCTGAATTTAAAACTCCAGTCTTTCATAAGCATATCGGGCCTGTTATTAAAAATTGAGGTTTGTGGAACATCTATGTAATCATGATCCACCTCTTCTTCGTGGATCACACTGACCTCCACTGACCTGCTTCCAGAGACGAATAAAATGATGAAGTCCGGTGGCCGAGTGGTTATAAGCACACGCACACACACACACACACACAGTTCATCTGCCATTACAGTAATTCAACACACATGCAACCACGACGTGCTCTTTCCCTCGCGTTCCCTCTCTCCTTCAGTTGTACGTCTCCCTTACACCCTTCAATTTTGTATTGGGGATCTCTCGACCGCAATCTCTAAACCCGTTCTCCACTCGCCGTGTGTAACTGGAGAAAGTGGGAGGTCTGGTGTGTATGGTGATTAGGAACAGGGTGAACTTGTCTAATATGGGTCACTAAATCTACCGAAAGCCCAGATCCAGGCCCTGGTGCCTCCCACTTGATGAGCTCATCTTTGATCTGCCTTTCATCTTTTCTGTACCATTCTTTCTTTCGACATTAAACTCTCAGTAATTGTGCTCAAATTAAGGCAGATTTGAATGCAAGCTTGCAGTTGATTGTTGAGGACTACACCCTTCTTTGAAATACCAATGATACCCAGTTACGAGGAGGCTTTTTGACCAGGAAGACAAGAACATCTCGACTTATACTGACGACAGTGTTTTTTAAACAGTTGAACGCTATTACTGCCGAAACCCTGGACTAGTGATGCATGAAATGACTTTTTTTTTTTTTTACCAGATGAAAAGTTCAACCGAAATTGAAGTTTCCATTTAGCCAATAACCAGAACTGAAAACTAGTTTCAGTAATTAAACTTGAGTAATTGGGTAACAACTCAGTATGCTGTTCAGGGTTTTGTGCTCACAGTTGGAAAAACCAGTCATGGTGATGTTTTTCAGCCACCTCTCAAATAAATTTGACATATTTCTGCTAATCTAGCATAATTTTTAGCCATGGTGTTGTCAGTGTGTCCATTCATTTACCTGTTGTAGCTTGTCCATGTTGTGTGCATGAAATGGTAAGTGCTTCCCCAATGACTCGTTGTGTCTGTATCAGCCAGTGATTTCAGCCCTCCAAAAAAATTCTGTTGAAACCTAATTATTTTTTAAATTTTTTTAAGGTTTCAGCAGCCAAAACTTTCTATACAGCACTATCTTGAACATTACCTGTCATTGGACTACTGCATAAACTTTTGCTTTTGTAGTTTTTAGTTTTTTTAGTTTTTATCTACTGCAGGGTTCCTCAAATCCAGGCCTGGAGGGACACTGTCCTTCAGAGTTTAGCTCAAACCATGATCGAACTCACCTACCTGCAATATTCAAGTAACTCTGAAGACCTTGATTAGCTTGTTCAGGTGTGTTTGATTGGGGTTGGAACTAAACTCTGCAGGGCAGTGGTCCTGTAAGGGTACGATTACACGACAACGATATGCTTAAAACGGAGAAGTTTTTCCATTGAGATTTCAGCATACAGAAGACACCATTGTCAAAAACGATTCACACGGATCCGCGGAAACGAATAAAAACCCTGTATGCTGCTGCCAGGCCATTAGATGGCGATGAAACACTATAGACACGTAATACGGCGCATGTGCATGACGTCAACATCTTCAGAGATTCGCGTTTTTGTTGTTTACGCGGAGACCGTTTACAAAAACGTGCACTTTGGAACCTGTTTTCAAAACTTTGCGTTTTCAGGCACCCAAAACGCTGTCGTCGTGTAAACAAACGGCCAAAATGCAAAAAAAGTGTTACGTTTTTAGTTGAAAACGGTGTCGTGTAAACAGCCCCTAAGACTGGATTTGAGGAACCCTGATCTACAGTATTATCCAATAGAAACCTAAAACAAGAACCCACAATGTCAAAACACTCAGGTGCTAGTCGCCAAGGCTTGACATTGTCAAAACTGTGGCCAATGAAAATGCGGAGTCTCTAGTAACTTTGGAAAACCACTAGCCACGGTTGCTGTTGAGGCTGCTGTCACTTTAAGACCTGACACACGGATCCATTATACTGTAATATATGTTTTCTTTCCCAACTGTTTACGTTCACTTAAAACATAACTGACTGTGTTTACGTTAATACTCGCCAAGTGTGTGTCAACTCGCTGTCGGAGAGATAAAGGCATTAGCGAATCGTGAAAACACAACACATTCTGCTAGTGTCTGGATAGTGTCTGCCGCTAACGCGAAGGGAGGCACACTGTGTGTTCCTGAGGGTTCAAGGGAGTGAGAAATGAAGACAGAGAGAGACCAAGCGAGGGAAACCCACTGGGCTCTCGTTTGGCCTGTGGTTTAATAACCTCGCGTGCTGAGAATGACTGCATCCTTGACAGCACCTGAACCCTATTAGCTAACAAACTGGACCACTTCCCAGACGTTT